GCACTGTGAGAGTAAAGTGTCTTGCCCAAGAACACAACACAATGTCCCCGGCCAGGCCTCGAACCCGGACCGCTCGATCCGGAGACAAGTGCACTAACCCTGAGGCCACCGCGCCTCAACCCTGGACATTAACTCATTTAGCTCCTCATTTAACTCCTGATCGATACGTGTGTAGTGAGTTAGCCAAACCTAAAAGTAACCCTTTGCAGCATTTTTAGGTTGTCGCAACAGGAGAAGAGTTGTTACTTTTTCGTTTTGTTTTGTTTGTTTGTTTGTTTGTTTTGTTTGTTTGTTGTGGGTGGTCTTTGCAATATATCCATTCTGGGAAATTAGCAGCCAAAAAAATGGGAGCTAAAAGAGAACCACAATACACAACGGAAGAAAAGTGATCTGTGTAAAAATGAATGATACGGTGAAAAGAAGCCTATGAAGCCTATAGCAATTTAAGTGTGGTAAGTTAGCGATCACTTCGTTGTTGTGTTTTCTGAAACAAATGTAGTCGATGAATAAACCGAGAGTGGTTAAACTCGTGTTCGCTTTTTTTGCGCTGTTCTTCAAAAAAAGAACGCCTGATCGCAGGTTACAGAGTAGTGTCTGCGCGCATCCGCCACAGTGCCATCGCGTACTTATGTTTGTAGCACACTATTTAACAAATGGTAATGGCCATAGCGTACACTATTGGGAGTCACACTACTGAGTTACGAATGCACGCGGGAGGTTGCTAAGCACGAAAGAAACGTAAGAGCTTCTAGCCACTTGAGTGCTTAGCAAACCTCCCAAGTGCACCCATAACTCGATAGTGTACAGCTGGGGCGTTAACCATTTCTTTTATAACATAACATTGGCACATTGAAGCAAAAGAAGTCCTTTTATTGAGCTACACCACAGGACGCACGTCGGCAGTGTACACCCATGGGGAAACAGAGGATATTAAACGGTGGCGAGAAGGTATGAATTTTATGTCCGAGTGGCAAGAACAAGATAGATATATATTTAGTTATATACAGTAGAACCCCGCTAACTCGAACCCCTATAACTCGAACAGAGTCTCAATTCCCTTGGATTTGAACTAACTTTTCAGTCATTTTTACCCGGATAACTCGAACCCCGATAACTCGAAAACCCCGCTAACNGTGTTCGCTTTTTTTGCGCTGTTCTTCAAAAAAAGAACGCCTGATCGCAGGTTACAGAGTAGTGTCTGCGCGCATCCGCCACAGTGCCATCGCGTACTTATGTTTGTAGCACACTGTTTAACAAATGGTAAAGGTCATAGCGTACACTATTGGGAGTCACACTACTGAGTTACGAATACACGCGGGAGGTTGCTAAGCACGAAAGAAACGTAAGAGCTAGCTACTTGAGTGCTTAGCAAACCTCCCAAGTGCATCCATAACTCGATAGTGTACAGCTGGGGCGTTAACCATTTCTTTTATAACATAACATTGACACATTGAAGCAAAAGAAGTCCTTTTATTGAGCTACACCACAGGACGCACGTCGGCAGTGTACACCCATGGGGAAATAGAGGATATTAAACGGTGGCGAGAAGGTATGAATTTTATGTCCGAGTGGCAAGAACAAGATAGATATGTATTTAGTTATATATATAGATATTGTTCTTGCCATGAGAACAAAAAATTCATATCTTCGAACTAACGTGAAATGTTCTTTGTACTATATAGACATACTGATGACGGCGTTTTTGACGATTTTCCGAAGATTTCCGACCACTTTCTGAAGTTTTCCAAAGATTCGCCAAAACTTGTCCGAGGGTCACACGAACATTGCCGAACATTTTCCGAAAATTTCCGAAGATTGCCGAAGACTTTCGAGAAGACCCGAAGATGTTTGGATCATACAGCCACGAATTCAAGTACAACTTAAGAGACAAACTTGATATCAGTGAAATCATCGATATCTTCACTAGTGAGGATATGGAAAATACGCCACTCGAGTCCCGGATGTGCTTTCATATGAATTTTACGAGTGGTGTATTTTCCAGTAAAACACTCGTGCCTATTTAGCAAATAGACGATTTTAAAATTTACCAATCAGAGCGCGCGCTTTGCTTTAGTTATGTCATAATAACGGTTGACCACTCACGCTTCAACCATGCCAGTGTCAACATGCTGGCCGAGATGAAACTGAAAACAAGTACAGTACCTCCAAAAAATCTTGCGAGACGGAAATATTTGACTTTAATACAATTGAGGTGACTCTAAAGCTAATGTAGTGGACACTAGTAACGATTTCAACTAAGTTGAAAATAATTTTGCAAGTAAAACGTTCTTATATTCTTACGAAATGGAAGTGGTAAAGCCTATTTAACTTGTAATAAGTCTCTTGTGTGGGTGTGGGAATCCCATTTGAACTGAATTTTCGCCAAACCAGAGGAGAACTGGCATGATGAACTCTGATGACGCTATTGCGATTAGATAATTTTGGAAACCATAATTGTTACGTAAAGGGAACCGACGCCTTATCTCTGAAAATTGCAAAAAAAAAAAAATAGAAAACTCTGAAAAATGCGTGGCTATCACAGTTTTATTTCTGGATTTAATAGCCCTTCTCTGATCTCAGAAGCTCAAAAACCAGCTCGTTTAAGAATTTTCGTGCCACTTCAGCCGGAAATTAGCATGCGGACAACCGGAAATACGTCTGCGCTCTCAAATTAGCCTGAAATTTCTGGAAATAGGCGACAAAAAAAGCGTTTCTCATTTTAAGAACCCCACTCGCCCTAGGCCGCACGGTTAATAATTCTCTACTGGATTTCAAACCATTGTTTGCATAACTAATACCTTGCTTGGCCTCGCAGCTAGATTTCTCATAACGCCTCTTTAGTGCTTCAATCAAAATGGAGAGATTCCAGTTAATCAAGGTTACGGTAGAAATAAAACCCTGTAAGTGCAAGGTTTATCCTGAAAAAGAACATAATATCTTTTTAATAGTATCTATAACCGCTCGTCTCACTTCTCTCATTTTCCAACAATATAGGATCGGGTTCAGACTTGAGTTAAACAAGACCAGTGTTATTGTGAATGTCCAAACAACAAGAAGTGATAAAGTTACTCCTTTAACGGCCATCGCAACCAAAAGTACACTCATTGGAAGGTAACATACAAGTACGGTAAACTGTACCCACAATGCACTAGACACTGTTTTTCTGTATCGCCCTATGTTCAATGGCGCATGTCCGTTTTGTTGTCCTTGGTGAGCGTGTTCTTGTACTTGAATTTGATGACGAAGGAGTTTTTGATAGATCCGTGAATAACAGCAAGTTGAAATTACTAAGCATAATGTAACAGCAATGGAGCCATAATATGGTGAAATGTTAGGATTAAAATTCCCCCAGAACGAAAAGCCAACGCTCAAAGTCCAAAAACAGATAACGACCAGTAGAACTCGTTTAATAGTAACCACTTGTCTGTATCTTATGCCCAGTAACAAGGCGAGAAGTCTGTCCACGCTGATTGCGGTCAGTGTGAACAAAGATGCAAAAAATAACGGCATTCCAATAAAAAAACAAACAGTAATAATATAATAGCAAGGAGGTAAGCTTCCATATTCTGCTGTCATTAGAGTCATCACAACTAGTGGCTCCAAGAAGATCCCAACGAAGAAATCAGTGAGGGCCAGTGAACGTAACAAGATCTTGGAAGGTGGATGAAGGGACGACTCCTTGTAAAGGGCAATGAGAATCAGAGTATTACCTAACGTCGAAGTGATGGCGAGAATAGCATTAGAGACTACAAGAAACCACAAAGAATAGGTTCCTCGTAAAGGAGTCATACAAAGCAGCGCGTGTGCACTATGGTTTCCATCTTCCCCATACATTTCCATGTCCAATTTTGTAAAACTCTGTTATACCACCACAAGAAAAGTCCCCTTGACGACGGCGCACCCAAATAAGGATTAGGCAATGACTACACCATGAGGCTTCAAATACATGTGTCAGAAACGACCTTGAATGTTTGAAACAACTCTGGTCGCAAAGAAGAAACTGCGTGTGTCTAAAAACATCTGCTTATATGAAATAATTTCTTCATATCTGTGTTTACATGTATGGCTTTGCATTCAATACTCCAAATATAATTAATAACTTGAAGAGAATTTTTGCTTGAGGTCACAATGGAATCCGTGTAATAACCTTTTACAAAGGATTGTATGATAGGTGATGCCATTTTGGTGCCAGTGCTATAGCATCACTGTTATCAGTTGGTAGTATAATAAATTGAATGCAGTATTGGTGGGGTATCGAGTGTATCCAGTGGCTGTCACAGCTGACGTTAAAACAATCATTATTTTCTCCTGGCTTGATATCCTTAATAAATTTAAGACGAATGCATTATATTTGCTTGACAATAGCAGGCAGGTTTAGGTGTTTTGTTGTTTGTTTGTTTACTTGTTTTTACTTTTTTAATTACGAAAAAATGTGATCGTAAAGATTGGTTATTTTTGTATTCCACAGTCATTAAGTATATGACAAAAAGAGGTTCTGCGAGAATCTCAATGAGGAAAACAATGAGCGCCAGTGAACGTCACGGTAAGAAGATCTTGGAAGGTGCATGAAGGGACGACTCCTTGTAAGTCTTGTAAAGGGCAGCCAAGATCACATTTATACAGCGTTGTAGAAACGGCGATGGAACTGTTGAAAACTGCAATTATAAGGCACATCAATGCACTGTTTTGCATTAATAATGGTGCAAT